AAGCTATTTCAGCCTGCAGAGACATTGCAGCATCACCTTGTACTTGGCCAAAACCATCCACAGAATTAGCAATGTTTTAACATGAGTCCTCAGTACTTAATATATTATAACCCTCCAGTTTTTCATCTTCAGGTAGAAGTTGCAGTAAGTTACTACTGAACTCTTCTCTTCCCCATCTGCACTAAAACCCAGAAGCCAAGCACAGTATTTCAGAATCTACCAAAACCAAGATGACCTGAAGGGCAGATTCTTACAAGACTGACAACGGTAGCATAAAAAACAAAAGAGAAAAAAAAAAAAAAACCCACACCACTTTTGCATCCAGCTCTGTCTCTAGGTCTTTGTTGCAAACAAAAGGACAAGTTTCCAGCTTCCTCCACTTGATGGCTTAGATAGTATAAGTATCATGTTTACGTGTTCACTAAAAAGTTGCATGTTTTTTCTGAAAAGCAGTGGCTTTAAATTCTGTCCTGTTTTTAGGCAACAAGATACATTTCTTATCTCAACTAAATTCTAAAAGGAGACCATCTGGAAGGACTACACAGTCTAGTATCTGATGTATACTATACCAAAGCATCATATACGACCATACTTTATAGTCATACAGCTTAACAACGAAAGTTCAGTACATTTGATGCAAGCCAAGGTATAAGCTTCTGGATTCTCTCACAGTACCTACTCCCTTAATGAATTCTGGCATAGTAATAAATACACTCAAAGGACAAAAAAAAATTCAAACAGTTTTAACTAGTTCTATATATAGGGAATACTACTTTTACATTCTAGTTGCCTAATATTGCACTTAAAACCCTGTGAGTATCAGAATTTTGGTAAGAACTTTGATAACCTTTTAATAACATTTTTGAGAAATACATCATGAAGTAAAGACTGGAAAAGCCAAACATACTTTTAATTAATTCAGAAGTGTTCGCATACTAAGAGATGAGGCAGACAACATATAACTGATTCCAGGACTACTACTACAGATTATATACAGATGCTGTCCTTAAGCTCCACAAAGGTTTTTTTTCCTTCAAATCACAGCATGAAAGTTTTGACATCTAAAAAAAAAACCCAAACAAACCCCCCAAAACCCCCCACAGTTTCAGAGCTAGGATACTACACCCTTAAAAGAAGCCCTTCTCCCCATATCTACATAACATATTACCCCCTTGTTATGCAAAATTATAAACAGGTATTTTGACTGCTAGATGGAAGTGAAATTTTAAACACATACATTGTAACACTGAATGAAAAGCACTTATGAGTTCTTTCAATGACTAGAGATGGGTTGTTTTCCTGTCAAAAACTTCTGTGAATAGAAACATACATTAGCATTAGTTCCTTGAGGCAAAGATAAATAATCATTTCTGCCAAGATTCACTATAATTTCTCTGTGTGGTAAAGAAGGCAATTCTGCATTCTGGTTTCACAAAGAAATTCATATTTACCTTTTTTTATCAAAAGGTCCTAGCTTTTGTGAATTACTAAAGCTTTAGCCCGATATTCAACTCTTGGTTCTAATTACACATTTTCTGGGCTAACAAGAATGGTAAAGTTGCAGAGGAGAAAAGAAACTTCCTCTATCATTCATTAAGGTTCCTGTTTACGTAGCAAAGACAACAAACAAAACAAAACACCCCATTGGTTCTAAAGGGACCTGGAAAGGAGGCACTGGTCACAACACAAACCACCCAAGCTCATACAGGATCAGAATATTCTTTATTTTTATCTAGCTTAAACCAAGTTTTAATGTATTCACATTACATTTTCAAATCACATATCTAAGCTGCAGACCTCCAAACTTTGCACTCACAAGTTAATTTTGTACCCATTAGTTACTGCTGTTAAGGTCACACACATTGAACCCAGAGACCCCTGTGTTGGCAGATCTGCTGTTCGGAGGTTCCAGCACCTTTGTCTCATAAAACACGACCCCAGGTGTGAGCTCAGGCCAGGTTTACTGCCTACAAGGTATGCTGCCAACATGCTTGTCCTAACATCATAATCCCTATGTGTCTGTGACAAGGCACTGGCATACAAACATGACCAGAAGACCAGTAAAAAGCCTGCATAGTTTCCAGTTCCCTTTTATTTTTCCCATCAGACAAATGCACACAAGATAACACCTGTGTTCTCGTCTGGATTTTCATGTTCCAACCCTGTAAACAGGGCAGCCTGCCACCCTGCGTGTGCCTTTATCTTCACTTGTCTGTACCCAGACATAGCAGCACATTCTGGCATACATGGCCAAGTGGCAACTTTCATGAGGCCTACTTTGACACACACTTTACAAAGCATTTATGTGAGTGCACATTCTAACAAGCCTTCCAGCAAAGCCTGCACTTATATACGCACATCATTTTTCAGATGAAAAAGGGAGTTGCGCACGTGTAAATGCATAGCATCTGAAACCATAGTACCCAATTACAAACTAGTAGAAATTTTAAGTTTTAGTGTTCCTATATTACACTCTGGGGCTGTCCAGAATCTCTGATAATGCAGGCAGGCAACACTGCACCCACATGCAAGAAATGATCCTATCCCTGCTTGGAAAGGGGGTATCACTGTTCCCCAAGTCTCATGTTGCATCGCTGAAAAGATGAGTATCAATAGTCCTTTCAGTGGAAAGAAATCTCCTCCCAATATCTCAGTGGTTCATAAAGCCCTGCAAGAAAGTGCTCTCAGTTTTTATAACCATCACTGCTCTGTGACAGACATTAGACTGGATGTGGACTCTTTCAACCACCATCCTGTACTGTTTGGAAACCCACATGGTGAGAAGTCTCAGATGACCTTTCTGACATCTCCCATATATATAGTCCATAGGTAGAGAGTTTGGAGGATGCTGTCCAAAACCTTGATCATGACTCTGCTCACAGTGGACTTACTCACCCCAAACTACCTTGAGTAATGGGAGTCTAGGGTTACGAAACCCAGTAGCTGAAAGTTATTCTCCCAAACACGGTTGTAGGCATATCTGTTTCACCTAGCTACGTGGTTCCATGGAACCACTACATGGTTCTGCTAAAACAGATTTGCCTCCCACAGCCTAGAATCCCTGGCTAATCAGGGACTAAACAGTTGCAATGATAAAGAGTCCCAGAAATTCATTATCTCTGTCTTGTTCCTCAGATGACAAGACATCCAGAAGAGTAAAAAAATTTCTTCTGGAACACCTTCGCAGACACAAGGTTACATGCTCCATTCTCTCCATATTGTGCCTCTATCTGATGATAAACAACTTGAAGGCACCAGGGCTCACCTGCAGATGAGCAGGAACAAAATAAGCAGAAAACAGAAACAAGGCTTGTTTCCTTATGTGAGGCCACATGTAATTGTAGAGGCAGCAGCAACATGCTGCGGTTTTCCATGCAAGCTACAGTGTGGTATTTCATAAAGGGGTCCACTGGGAACTCACTGTCCCAAAAGCAAAGGACTGCGGGAGAGCTTTCTTTTGGATAGTTTCAAAGCACAGGCCTAATGGGGAGGTCCAGGCCAGGGAACCAGACCAGATCTAATCCAAAGCAAAACCCCTGAAGCATGATGACAGTAGCTGCAGCATCCTCAGCAACAACTGCTTTCACAGACTCATCTGCTTCTTTTGTGCTTCACTACTTATTAATGCAGACAAAGCCTAAAACTACATTAAATACTTTTGAATGCATATAGATTTTTTTTTTTAAAAATGAAAAATAGTAAGCGCAAACCCAAATGCAGTTCACGTCATCGTGAACAGTAATTGCAACTGCATAGCGGTATTCAGGAATATTCCTCATTCTTGTTGCACGCAAAATTGTCCCAAGTTGGGGAATTTCACTTAATTAAATTTATTGCCAATTACAAAAGCTTTAATTACTGATTTGGGTATTAATAAACAAGACAAATAGTCAAACACTCAAAGAAAACACTTTCCTTTGTTTGTCTTAACTTCATTCCAGACACCTCTCTCTACTCCTTCCTAGTCCCCAGTCTCCTTGCTTTTGCCATTATGTTTCACTTGGTCCCTTTGGTAAGGCTATGGGCAGCGCAGGAGAGTGGGATTAGTGCATACTGTCTTGCTCTTTTTGCCTCTCTTTGTTTCTTACTTCTTTCAACTGCTTTAGCATGGGTCCTCCACCAGGCAAAATCCCCTTGGGGATTGTACCTGTCCAGCATGGATTCCTCCATGGGTTGCAGTCCCTTCAGAGGTGTACATCCTCCTGTGTTTTGTGTGTCCTCAAACATCTCCTCCGGTCTTTCCCTTCATGCCTACTCTGTTATCTCCCCCTGTATCTCCATTTCTGCATTGTTTTGTGTTTCCTGCATCACCTTTGTGCCTCCTTCCGTGTCTTTTGTACCTCTTCATGTCCCTCCTCCTGTATCTCCACTTGTGCCTCCTGACCTGTTTTCCTTTGTGTTTCCTCCTCTGTTCTGGTGTGTCCTGTCCCTAGTAGCTACCAACCTTTCTTAAATATGTTTTCACAGAGGTGCCATATGGTCTTCTGTTTGGTTCCAATTTCAGTCATGCAGTGGGTCCATACTGTCCTTCGCAGAGCTGGCTGGAAACGCCTGTACCCAGCACAGGGCAGTCCATGATCTCTTTCCACACAGGTCAGCCCTGCAGCCCCCCACTACAAAACCCCTGCCATTTCTGTCACATACAATTCCAAAGGTGAACGGGGCAGGGGGAGAAGAGAATTTTCTAAAGCTCAGCCACAGTGATCTATGGAGGGATTTTCATATGATCATATGAATGGCAATGGGCATTGACAAAAAACATCCCTTGTCATCAGTAGTTGATAAACAAAAATAACTTAGTTTTATGCGATTAATCTCTCCTAAAGAGAAGTAAAGAGCTACCTACAGGTGCATTTAATATTAGCGAGAGATATATTCATTTCTGAAGAACAGATCCCAAGACTATACATATATAGGTTTTGTTAGATATACCAGTCCCAGAAGATGAACTTTGGCTGAGAAGACTGTATACTTCTGGAAATTAATTAAATCTGACTTACCATAACAGAATCAAGTTTTTGTTTCACCTTCTGCATTCTCATTGATGCTCTTGCAACACTGACAAACTGATCTGCCGGAGACATCACTGAACTTTTTTGTATAGGAATTTCAGAAAAACTGCTGAATATCTGTGGCCCTCTTGGTGCAGCTGTGGTAAGTGATGAACTGAGATCCTTTACGAGTTCAGCTTCCTGTTGCGCAACTGTAGAAATAACCAATATTAATGTGTCAGGTAAAGCCTTACATTGCCATGGGGAAAAGAAAAACCTGAATGATCGCTGTCATTTTGCCAGCCATGTCTTCAATGAAACACTATCACAATCTGTACTAATTTTGCTACAGGGAAAACCTGAAAATTACATGAAATTTTCCCCAAACCACCTCATTTCCCCCAACTCTTCCTGATCACAAGGTCTCCCTTATCTGTTCTCTGTGTTCAGTAACCTCTCACACCGAACAGGTATTTTTGTATTGCTTATAAACAATAGTTTTCTCCATGCAGAAATATCAATGGGGGTGGGGAGAAAGGAATGTTTTCAAAGGCAAGAAAGTTGTATAGCTTGCACTGAGTTCAGGTCAGCTATTTTACTAGGTGTATTTCACATTTTTTCCAGCCTAGTTCAAGTGAGCTTATTATACTTGAGTAAAATTTCAGAAGTTGCTAGACATATATACAGGCACAGGAGGCATTCTTAGGAGGTAGTCTGCTCTAGAATGTGATACTTTTGATGAAAGTTGTGCTCACTGTCATTTAAACAAACAGTTTGACTTTTGCAATTTTTGGTACTGTGGTCTCAAGCCAACAAAGGTTAAGAGAATTCTTCATGAAGTTCTGTCCAGGATATTCATAGAACTGTTGGTGTATGTAAAACACATACTGTTGGAATCTTAAAAACTGTGTCAGTGACTGAAATTAGTATTACTATATGATTAACTCTTTCAACACTAAGGCAGTAAGACTATCTTCTGAAAGCAAAGTGTGTGCTTTTCACCAAAAAAGGAACAAAAAGTTAGTAACAGACATTGTAGAAAAGACCACAACTATGCAAAATCTTACTGTCACCAGTGACTTAGTTAAGCAGTCAGATGATACAAATAACTACCAGCGTGATCTCTGTGATCTCTAAATATAAACACACACACATACATATATTAAACTAGCCTATTAGCTTTTTGAAGACTCACTGTCTGCTGAATAGTCAAAAAATTCTAAAGAAATCCTTCACCCAAAAATTTTTCCATTGCTCTCTAGAATGCAGGTATCTTACTGGGTTGAAGTTTAGCACTGAATATTGATTGTAAAGTCATTCCACTTTATTTTCCTGTAAAAGTCAACCAGTTCAACAGACAAAAAACCTAAACTGTGAGATTTGGTATGAGTAATCTCATTAGTACATGTTATTTAAAAAGCAAATGTATAAAGACAGGATTAGCTTTTTAAATCTACGTTCACTGCAAATATAATTCAAACAAAAATCTGTTACAGATATGCAAAATTTATTGCATAATTCATACTAACATTATCTACTGTCTAGATGCAATGTGACATCTGAAACTGTGTCCTTAATTGAAACAATGACACTGCTAAAGCTAACCACAAAGACACATCATCAGAAAAGCCTGCAAAGGAGAATCTGAATTTTATTTTGTATATCAAAAATTCAAAGCTAGCATTTATCACTTTCTTTTTAATATAACACGGGGAATAAATGTATCTCTCACAGAATCATACCACAGACACAACACGTGTTTATTAAAATAATCTATACTCCCTCATTAATTCATTTCTATACAGCTCCTTAACGTTATTTTGTAACATAGCACAAAATAATGAGTTTCTATTAAGCTATTCATTAATTTTCAGAATGATATTATTTTCTGGCTCCATAATGCACCTTGTTACTGAAAAGAGGCTTTTAGATATTTATATGACACTGCCTATATATGATAAAGTGCTGTAAGAATCACACAGGATGACATACAATTACACATTTTAACTTGAGGTTGCCAGGGACCTCTGGTGATTGGCTAGGCCAAAGTGCCTGCTCAAAGCAGGGTCACGTAGAGCAGTGTGCTCAGGGTCATGTCCAGTTGGGTTTTGATATCTCCCAGAATAAAGGTATGTGTTATCAACAAATGACCATTTTCTTTTTCCTTCAAAAGAAGTAAAAATACTAGCAAATCACTTCTAAAAATAAAATATTTACAAGTGTGTATCAAGAAAATTTGTACTGTACCTTTATAATCATAAATGTATACAAGTATTGGCTGGTTTTGACCAAAGGCACAAAATGACACCATGTGTTCGTGTGGATGAAAGGCAACATCACGAAGTGGAGATGTGAAGGAGAGTTCAGAATATACGGCCACCTGATCTCCTACAGAAGTGAAATACGTTTATTAATACCATGGAAACATACTTGATACAGCAAAATAACAGATGGTTACAGCTTGTATTACTACATTGCAGTGCATGCCACTGTAAATAATTATTCTTCAGTCCATTTCCTTATTGAAAAGTAATATTTGGCATAAGACAAAAAAACATTGCATGCTTTCAATTTATCGATAAATCAGAAAAGTTAGTGCTGTTGCAACAGCTGCAGGAAACCCCAGAGGATGCATCAGGTTAGCCGAGTTCTCTTGTTCTGATAAGCAAGTTCTGGAAAGGTGGCTTTCCACAGTATTTGTTTGTGCTTGCATTTTGCCAGAGATAGCTATCTTAGTTGTGGATTTCAGCTCTGTAATACTGACAATAGGAGTGAAAGTTGAGCACAAAATTATTAGAAAAAAATAAGTAAAATCAGCTCTTCAGCTGATGGCATTATGAATGCAAGTACAGTGTGTAAGCAAGAGTCAAAGTCCAGTGAAAACATACTAACAACAAAATTTCTCCCTCCTTTTACCCTTTTTTAAAGTTTTTGGACAAATTATGTAGTGGCATAGATGTAAGCTAATTAGTTGGAAACGTGCAAAGAAATTCAAAACAGAACTGCTAGTTAGCTGCCTGTTTTAAAATATTTACTTTCTCCTTTTTAAAAATTATTTAGATCATAATTGGAGGCAGAACATAAGTCATCAAAACCAAAAAGTGTATTCTGCTACCTTCTACTGCTATTTTTGCCCCTTTTACCTCACTGTACAAACAAAGATGACAAACTCTTTATCTTACATTTGCTTAACGCTTTCCCAGAAAGATTTTGGTAGCTATTTTGAAACTACTTGGTTTGGGAAATAATTCACAAAGAAACCTTATATTCCAAAGGCCGATAATATTCAGAGTCTCCGATCACCCTTGGGAAACAGATGACTTGGTTCTCAACAAAAGCCTAATTCCCAAATCCAAAAAACACAACAGAAAGACTGATTTGACTTAAAAGGTTTTAGTGCATTCCATTTTAAGACCTTCATCCACATGTGAAGAATGGCAGTACACAAAAAGCTGAGCTTAAGGTTGATATTACAAATGCTACCTCTGCATATTAATTTCCTCTAGAGAATTAAATCTTAGAGATTAATAATAGCTATTTAAAAGGTGGTGCTAAGGCTTCAGGATTTAAGAACATCTTACTGAAGTTTTATTCCATATCAAAAGTGTTTCAATGAAGGTTACAAAATCCTTTCTCCCCCCAGTCTTGACAACCTAGCTTAACCCCATGAAATAATTAGTTACCTGTTTCTGGATTCCAAACATAAGCCTTTCCATCTTCACTTCCAGAAAATAGGAATGTACCACATGGTGTGAAGGTGCTGTGAATCTTTTCTCTGTAATTTGTGGCACCTATGTATTTCTTTGCAGCCAAGCTAAAGATAAAGAACGGTTTGCAAATGTAGCAGATACTTTCAGAATAGACAATCTAACTTTTTATGTGTCGGTCCCCCTCTCTGTTCCTCAGAAAAATCAATACACCTTGCATCCCGAATAGATATGCAAGCACCCACCTTTTGCAGAGTGCAGTGTTTACCCTTTCTTTTCCCTGGCTTTCATAATGCACCTGAAGTTATAGATGAAAGTGTACATCCTTGTCTTTCAGTAGAAAATGGAAATACTCAGATCTAAAGAATGGATACAGATGTAGTAATTTGCATCATCTTGACCCCGGGCTTTGCAAAAAATGGGGAAATTGGCACTATTACTCTAGGCTCTGCCAAAAAAGTTTTCATTACGCTTCCTGAGCTTGATTACATCCCAGTAATGCTTAAATTTATCCAGCAGCTCTCTTCAGACTAATGTCTCCTTGGTTAGAAAACCAGCAGTAGAATCAATAAATTTCAAACATCAATGCTGATTTACTATTAACATTAATATTTTTAGTATTATTGTGCTACTTAGGTATCCTAATCTTTTTTCAGTGAAACACTACTGGTCAGCATAGTAATAATGACCTACTAATGAACTACTGTCAAACAGTTTGTAGGCATCAAATAAGAGAGAATCTGCAAAAGGATTTAAAGAAGCCTCTTAGCGTAAACCAGCTTGTATCTCAAACATGAGGTACAGCTTGGAAAGAGATATGAAAGTTCAAAATGGAGACTAATACAGCAATAATACTATGATGCAGAATTCAAGGCAAGAAGAATGGCAATAGGCCACAACACCCCTCAAAGACAGCAGACAGTAATTTTTAAAATGTGTTACTGCAGAAACAATGAAGGTATGCTGGGAGAAGTGCAATGCAGTTAATATGACAGGAAAATTATTTTACCAATCTTCTAAATAAATATACCTTAGATACAATTCTATTTGGCAAGCAAGACAAAGGGATGCTTTAATGATCACAGTGCAAGACCATATTAGCCCCAATAAAAGTTTTAGCTAGGTGAATAAGAAAGATAGTGTCTCTGATATGTCATGTAGAATTCTGCAAGATGTAAAGCTAAACCGCATATGAAACCCTAAGGAGAGGTCTGAACCAAAACTAAATCCCTGATCACATACCTCAGTGACAGGACAACAGTATTATCCAAAAAGATCAAAAAAGCAAGTTGAAAGAGGAAAGTTCAGAACAACTAGCTGTCAATCAAAGTGAATTGTGTTGATCTGTGACCTCCACCCCCTCTTTTCTCATGCAGGGAATGAACAGTTAATGCTGACGTGTAAAATTATCACTGCTGGGTATCTGACCCTGTGGTTTATTGATAGACTTAAGCCAATTTAACTGTGGGCTGCGGTCAAAGCAGCAGTCCTGCTGCTGTCCTCTCCACCCTTATTTTCCCAGGCTCTCCCTCGTTTCTTCTTTAGTGTTTGGGCAGCTATCAGATGAGTTAGATCAGATAGCTGATTAAAATGAAAATTAATCATTTGTATTTGTAGACTGATTTTTAGTCGGATCAGTTCACTGATCTGACTTACCCTGCATCAAAAGATCTCTAGAGCTGATAAAAAGGAAATGCTAGGAATACATGGCCAAAGGTGCGGGAGATAGGAGATGTTGTGTCCCACAGATAAACTGGCTTAATAATTGTGAAATTGCACACCATATTAACCCTTTCTTAGAGATTAATATGCATGTCCATTCTTCTCTCTCAAACTAAAACTCTCTGCGCTTTTTAGGAATGGTAGCGGTAGAAGAACACTATCTGCTTCAAAAATTACAGGTTCCCTCCGTTCATCCACCGATTTCATACTTCGGTTGAGTGGATAGTTGAGCCTTCTAGCATGGTCATTATAATTTATCGTTTACAGTAAAAGATGGAGAGTGCACTATTAGACTGGAAAGTCTTCAGCTAGTTCAAACATCCAACCCAATATATTATTTAAGAGTGAGATTTCCTGAGAGAATATATATATGTACAGAAGTATGTTCTAAAAGAACATAGTTTCTTATGCTATGAGAACATAAAGAGGTATTTCCCCCAGGTAATTTCACATAGAACACCAGGGAACCTTTGATTTTCTGCGTGGCAAGGCAAGGAAGGGAACCCATGAAATTAAGGATGAATCATTTAGTAAGAGCGTTCGTATCTTTAATGTGGATTTCCAGAAGGGAATGTTCAGGTGCATCTTATCAATGTGTGTAACTGATAGGAGTAAGACACTTCACAGTTTCACCCAGTGAAAGGACAAGAGGGAATGGACACAAATTGAAATATAGGGAATTTAATTTTAAATGAAGAAAAAACTTCTTTTGAGGGTGAAGGATCACTAGAACATATTGCTCATAGAAGTTGTGGACTCTTCATCCTTCAAGATATTTAAAGCCCTAAGTAACATGCTCTCATACTTTGATTATGGGGGTAGAACCGGACACTCTTCAACTTCAACAACCTAAGTGATTCTGTGATCTCCTTGTTTTTTATTGTAGTTTATTATTAAAAAATCATGTTCACAACTGTTAAAAATGAGATAATCAAAAACTAAGTTAAAAATCTCACCACCTGCTTAATATACCATAAGATGTACATCACTGCATATTTCAGTATTTATGATGACAATTTTAATTCCACTTTATCATCAAAAGACGCTTCCCAAAGTCTTAACAATGAGAAACTAACGCACAAATAAATGTTATATTTTCAAAGTTATTTTCACACCTAGATTGCATTTTTAAAAGTGAAATTCCATCTTTAGGAGACTAGTCTCTTCTCTTTCATGCCACCTTAAGCTCCCAAGTAATCTAGTAATTTTTGGATATTCTATTCTAAAGACTTACACAACATCACACAAAAGGTCTGTAACACAGCAGTGTTTTGAAACCATTTCCTAACCCTAATATTGCTATCCTTGATTATTAGGACATCTTTCTTCTCCACAACTATACATTTAATAGTTTTGTGGCACTTTACTTCCCCACGTAAATTTTAAAACAAAAAGGAAATACACACTTGTCACCAAAAATCCACTTACATTCTGAGATCCATGATTCTCAGCGTACTGTCTTTGGCATGGATTAATAAACGCCTTCCATTTGGATGCACCTCCAAATGATTTATTGATGTTCCTTTAATATCATTTTCTTTTATTTCCTACAGAAAGAAGGAAAATAAAGTAAAAACATGTAACTTTGTGTTTTAAAACTCATGTTTTTACACATTATTATTCATTTTTTTCTTGCATTACTCTTTTTCTACCCACTTCATTCTATTCAGTTAAGGAAGAAGTTTGTTCCCATATTAAGGCATCACATCCTGGGCAATCAACTTTTCACAACCACAAGACAGATTGCTGTGACTCTGAACTTCTGAAACACAGTTGATGACAGAAATGCTGACTGAACATTAGGCCTCTCAGGTATGAACAAAGGTAATTTGTAAAGCCTGTGGTCTATTTTATTGTTGTCTCTAGAAAACAAACCTAATGCATTAGCATTTATCTGTTAATACAGTGCTATTAAACCTCAAGCATTTTCATGTTTTATATACAAAAAAATTGAAGTTGCAAAACAATTCAAAAATTTTAAGTCAGTGAATCACAACATGTTCTATCAGCTCTTTTATACCATTATTTAAAGAAAAACACACCTTTTCAGTTAAACAAAAGTTAACATATAAAAAAATTTGAATCCAAATTGAATTACTAGATTTGGAATAGTTCACATAAAAATTACAATGCTAGTTTAAGAAACCTGCATACCTTATTAATTCTCCAATGTTGAAACATGTGTTGAGAACTTCCTTTGACAGATGTATCCCAAACTATTATCAGTCCTGAACTATCTCCTGAGAACATGTGGAGCCCTGTGAAATGATGTCTTATAAGTAGCAGAATACCATACAAGTGAGCAAATACAGAAAAGGACGTATAAACAAGAAACAACTTTTTTTTTCTATTATTTTTGTGAATAGGAGAACACCAATTCTTTCCTCTCTTTTGCTATGATACACTCATTGCAAATACATTTTGCTCATACTGCATGATGTAAGTTGATACCATAAATCTGGATTCAGCACATAAGTCAGATACTGTGGTGCTGAATATTCTTTTTTCAGTTTTACTCATATTTCAGAATCAGCAAAAAATGAGCATTTATAGCTCAATGAGCTTCACATGATGGCCTAATGCTTACCTATATACTCACTGAGAGCATCGTGAACAAGTAGTTTTCCAACAGCTGTTCTTAAATTAAGCACAAATACTTATTCTTTATAAAAATGCAACTGTTTCTTCTTCCTAGTACCTACTCCAGTGAATACCTCCAAAAAATGAACCACCTAATTACTAATGATGTCACTAATACCAGAAAAAGTCAAACACTTTCAAGTATCTTATTCATCACCCATCTTCAACTCTTCCCACTCTCCACTAGTACGTGTCAGTACATGTCTCTCACTCGCTTTCAGCTGTTAATCTACCAGTTAACATTATTCACAATGGTCTAATCTCTGTCCTTTTCTCCCAGTTTTTCACATTCTCTGTCAGTGCTGAAAAGCTCATTATCTTCCCACTCCTTCAGTCTAGCATTAAAATTCTCACAATCGAAATACTGCTACGTCATTTTCTTTATCTTTGTATTGAGTTGATAACTCTGAATGACAATATGGTAGAGCTGTCTTTGCTACTGTTCTGACCATGCAACCTCCTGTTCTGAAGTTCTGTTCTGAGAGTTCTTTAGAAGCTGGTTTCAGATTTCCTGCTTCTGCTTTTAAGTTAGTACATAACTCTTCTACCTACTTCTATAGCCAAATGTGCCTTTTTTCCAACTTACCTCTCTACACTAACTGCTAGGCTTTTCACCTGCATCCTGATCCATTTGTCTGCTCTGAACAGCAGCATCTGTGCTTCATGTTCTGCTAATTTTTGCTGCAATATGTACAAAACATTAGCTAACTAACAATACCTAGTTATAGGGACAATGAAAACCAAACTATGACCAAAATTTGCCCAGTAATCATTGCCTGATCACTACACATTTGCCTGCCTGTCCTCTCTGCACATACCTTTTCTGATTGTATCAGGGACTATGTGTCCTTTTGTGTTTGTCCAAATAAGGCATCATACTAACGTATTAATTGCAAACACAGCTAAAACTATTCTGTTATAGCATTTCACATTGCCTCTATGAAATAAAGCAAACTAGTAACACTCAAGTTGGTCTTCAACTGAAAAGACGACTATTTGAAAAAGTAATACTAAAGTACATACCTTCTGCATCAAAGCAAAGTGTGTTGACAAAACTTTTGTGACCATCAAGCTCCTGTAGCAGTTGTCCATGGATTTCTTTCACATTTGCATTCCAGATTCTAATCACTGAGTCGTAACATCCTGTCACGACCAACGAGTCAGCAATTGGGTGGTACTTTGCAGTGTAAACAAATGAAGGATGAGGGAAAACTCTCACAGCCGATGCCGCCTGCATTTCTATTTTCCACATTCTAAAAGGAAAGGATGTTAGGCTATCTGCTGTATTAAGCAATCACATGCACAGGTGTAACTGATGCCATATTTTGTACTAGTTCTAGAGGCAAATGCTTGCAAACACTTAACACCACCTGTTCATCATACCAATTGTTCCACCTATATTTAATCCTTTAATATGGTACTTTCTAACAAGAATTAAGATACATTCACTATTTTACATAGCACTCTGTCTTCAAAGTAAATTCACAACTACTTATTTAATGGATATTTCGCACATTTTAAAATACACAAAGAATTCCATGGAATGGATTGATTTCTTTCCTTCAGGAGTTATAAACAAATTATTAAGACCTTCTGGGGTATCACTCATTTAAAAACAAAACAAAACCAAAAAAAAAAGTAGAGCAAAAAACCCAAAACCAAACATTTAGGTCCACTAAATATAAATAAAACCTCAGAAAGTTTTAAAAGAACAATTACCTACCACACAGTGCTTGTGATCTCAAGGATGTTTTCTTCACATAAATTCAGTTCTTACTATTCATCTATTTCCTATCCTTCACCACCCACAGCTGTAAGATCAGGTTTTTCTTAGGAAGTGTTTTTTGTTTGATGCTATACATTGTATTATTGAGCCTTCCCCAAAGATGAGTCCATAAAGAATGGAATGGTACCTGGATCATGAAATACAGGTGGGCAGCACATTTCAGAGAGTGCTCAGTTACAATATGGAATTTAATTGTTTGAGTGCCACCCTTCCAGGTGGGGTGACTACTTCTGGTGCACGCTGAAGAATTCTAAGCTTACTCTGAGGTGAGTTCATCACAAAATTGCAATCCCTTAGAGTAGAGCAATTAACTTGCAACTTAATGTGCAAAGGTCACAAGGAGCCTACCTATCTTTTAAAATGGTTTTGCTCTAACAACATAAAAAGTTAATTTATTGCTCACAAATAATATGGGACTAAAGCTTGGGAAGGCTCAAGAGTAACATACAAAACACTATATAAAGAAGGATTCACATAAGCTCCCAAATTTCCTTTCAGGTTGTCTTACAACTCAGTCCAAGAGATGATCCAGGTAATAAACTGATAATGACTTTAAAGCAATAGGGTGCCTTTTGGTCCTCATCCTTCAATTCTACCATGTTTCAACAGTGAAATGGTCCCAATATGAAAGGGAGAAAGAAGAAACTCCTTGACTAAACTCAGAATTTTTAAGGACCTTAAGGCAATGGACAATAAATACAGGAACTAACAACTCGTACAGTGACTATGCATAGTACACAGAAAAGGAGGCAGACCACTACAGTTTCAACTTGCTGCCACAAATTCAAGAATTGAGGAACAGCTAGGCCTTCTTATAGGTAACATAAATGATCGAAATTGATATTTATTTTAATATTAAAAATTATTATTTAATCTGCTTCCAAATAAAAAATAAAAACATGGGCTAAGCTCTGAAAATATTATTTTTATTCCTACATACAAGCAGCAAAAAAAAAAAAAAAGGCAAAACAGTTCCACACATACAATGTATCAACAATTTTTCTGGCATTTTAATTATGCAACTGTCTGTAGCATTATTGAGTTGCATAACAGAAACAAGAGATAAGGATCTGAAGAGCTAAAAAAAAAAAGCCCTATGAAAACCTATGAAGTTACTTGTAATAAAATTATGCAGTGTCACAGCCATACTTTCATGTTTTTCTACAGTTTTGAGGGTTTTGCTTTTAAACATTGTACAGATTAGTATTTTAACATTAACACAGCATTGAAGTACGCTTTTAAATTGTAGACGAAAATGTGTACACATTCAGTCTCAGAAATAATACTATCAAATTACATTTACAGCCTTTTAATTTGAATTATTTAATTGTGTCCAAAGAAAAATTACATAGGTACAGTGTGGCCAATTTTAACCTGAATCTTAAATTTTCAATTTCCTGGCTCATGTTCAAATTTGCAGACTTAATACTGCATTCATAATATGGTAATTTCTTCAAGGATAGAATATTCCAACTGTCTCTGACTTCTGGAAATATAGGGTCTTTCAGGTTTTTTTGCTGCACTGTAGATTTAGACACTACAGTTTTTGGAAAAGCTTTTGTCTCAAATACCTATACATTAGAAACTGATATAGTAAATACCGCTTAAGTGACTAACTCCATCATAATTTTTATAATATTATAGAGTAAGTCACACTGCAATCAAATCTGTAATTAAAACATTATAGCACAGTTTTTAGTAAGAGATGAAACTGGACCGCTTTCTTTTGTGCTTCTGATGCTATCTGCCAGAACATCATCATCATACTGACCTGACAGTGCCATCGGAGGATGCAGTAAGAAGGTACTGATTGTCTTTTGACCAGCAAAGATCATACACTATGTTAAGGTGACCATAAAATTCTCTCAGGAACTGTCCAGAAGGCATTTCGTACACTAGTGAAGTTTAAATGGAAAAATAAAAATTTTGTAAGTATTTACAATCAATTATATGCAATTATTAGTGCAAAGTTTAGTCTAATCTTGGGCTGAGTTTCTGCTAGCATAAGTCAACTCATTTTCTTTATCGTCTCATTTTCAGAGAACAAAAATCAAATAGTTGCTAGATATGCATGGACAGCAAGCATATACTTCCATCTAGTGGTTCACAGATGTCACGAATGTCTTAACCCTTAAGAAACAGCCTACTTGCTTTACATTACTAAAACCAGTCTGGGATTACTTTTTTTTTTTTTTTTTTTTTTAAATTTTGACAGCTACCCAACCAATCTTTGAAATAGATTAACCGAGAGATCATTTTCTGGGGCTGTGTAATAAAGGAATCTAGACTTACTGCTCCTTGCGTTGTTTAAACATTTACTTTGTGTACACTTAAAATATTGTTCTCTCTAAATCTCAAAATTCTTACGCAGCGCTTAAGAACTATGCAGTTGAGGCTACCGTGAAGAAGTAGCCCCAAGTCTGAATAACAAGGAATATTTGTAATTCCAACTGAACTGGACCATGGAAGGCAGTAGCCTCCAGTAGTCTGTCAGGAGATGACCGTATTGCAGGTACCTAACTTTCATGACAGGTTAGGAGAAAAACTTAAACAAAAAGCATGTGGTGGGGGCTGGAAACCTATTTCACTTAAAGCCTTATTATCAGAAAATATGTCCCTTATGCAAACTGATTTAGTATTTCCATTAGACCTCTGTGCAGAAACTGTGATTTCATACCATTAAACTATATATACCTTACCATGTATGAAAAGCCAGTTCCAGCCTTATTAACACAGAAAAAGCACTTTCCTCAATGCTCTCTAATACATAGAACAATTTACCAAACACAAGTATAACACAAAACCTCTAAAACACCCACAATTTAAAAATACATCTTTTGCCCTTTAATTTCAAACTATGTGAGTTGTAAGAAAAAAACCCAAAACATATTTTAAACTTACAAACAATGGGATAGCCATTCCTTCCTGCACATGCTGCTGCCAGTGTTCTCCCATCATGAGAGAAACGAATACAGAAACAGCCCATTTCTCCACCTCGCAGTGAAAACAGATGCTTGTTCGGTATGCGGCAAACCTAGCTTTTCAGGTAAGAAATGGGATTACGCAGTTATGAATATTAACTACCCAACACTTAAAACACATTACTATGTCAAATCAATAATGCAGCTCAGAGAAAAGTTCTTTTGTTTACAGGTCACAGAGCTACAATTCACATATAAAGTTAATTTCATATTTAATTCATATATCAAAGAATTCGTAATTCTATAGAACATTTTGCAAAAATGTCATCCGTCTATCTGTATCTATGAAGACAGATACAAATATATTGTGGCTTTTAAAAAAATAATTTAGCTTTAAAGGTAAAACAGTAATTTAAATGTATAAAAAGGAAATAATTTTGAGTAATTGTTCTTTTTTAAACAAGCACATCTGCTTTAATATTCTTTGGCAGACAGACATGCCACATCATGCTAACCTTACTGAAACTTTTTCACATGACATCACAAAATACATTATCGTGGCTACTAGAGTCCTTCCGTATGGACATGGACTAGTCTAAGAATAAATGAGTTGCCAAACTTTATTTGTATGATGGCAGACAAATATTCGTAGGATCATATTTCTCTCGGTTTTGATTATGCACTTACTTTCAGAATGGCAACTTTCTGAAAAGTAACGAACATTAACATAAATACAGCTTTTAGGTATCATGCCATTTTTGGTAAGAAAATTCCCATTGTAAAAAAACAGACTTGCCTATTCTTTACTATATTATTATTAGCAAACTTTACTAGGAAATAAAGTTAAACCTGTGTACATTTAAGTGTTCTTTTTGAAAGGATCTGTATAAAGACTACAGTATGGAATCAAAATAAAACCAACGTTCTTTGTTAACAAATCTTTCATTGTTCAAGTTCTTATAGAACCATGAACTCATGCTAATGCCATTCTACAGAAAAATATTAAATCATTGCATGGACATTCTACATAGTTGCAAAAATATTCCTTTTTTACGATTGTTAAATTTTGATTACCTACAATGATCTAGGAATTAGGATAAGTCAGCAAGAACATTCTTAATATTAAGTTCTTCAAAGGAAGTTCCTTCATAATTCTGTTATACTGTACAAATAACTTTAACTGAGGGAATTAAAAGGAAAAAAAAAAAAAAAAAAAGACACCCAAGAAAATGTATTTCCAGTCAAGCTGAAATCTGAGAACTGGTTTCCTGTCTTACTTCCACTACCTGAACAGCCCTACTCTTTGAAATTCCTAGAGAAATCTCGAGATAAAAGTACCTAGCTGTTCTGGGGAAAAAATGGTTCAATCAACTATATTTGGTAAGAAGCTAAGCATCCTCTACTATTTCTGAGAGTTTCTTATGTTTTGTATTTTGTTTAGTATTTTTTAAAATTTACTTTAATGAATTACTTGCTTCATAATACTTATAAAAATAAAGTTATAAAAAGATAGTAGGTCTTTAAATTATTTTTCTTTAAAAAGCAAATAAAAACACTTCACCTGTCCAGGTAATCTTGTCCATTTAAATGGCTCTTTTTTCTCCTCTGGAAAAGGTTCACATGATTTTTTAGATCCCTCTCTCTGGAGCTCACACAGCGTTGCACTACTTTGTTCCTGCTGAACAGCTATCATAGAGCGGAAAGAAGGAGCAACCTTAAGGCAAACAAAACTAAGCATCAGGAAAAAACATTTTAAAAATGAACAATGTAATATCTGAAAAGATTAAAAGGTACTTTTCAAACGTATTGCATTTTTATATCTGAAAAATAAGAGATTGGAAAAGGTTTAATACATAAAAACTGCACAGCAAAAATTTCATTTGAAGTAACCATCAAGTCAGAAAGTAATCTGAGCTTCCAAAGTTGTGTCAATCAGATGGTATCAAAGATTTTTCAAGTAATTGATATTTTTCTATTTTTATTAACCATCAGTGAAAATTAGTAATACTCTACTACCTGGTGACAGTGGTGTATAAAAAAAAAGGCATTTCAGCATGTAAATAGTTTCAGCAACATTAACCTACCACCTTCAAATCAAAATAGTGCTTCAGCAACAAAATCCATGCATGATACCAAAAGACATTACCAGTGTTGTCTATTGAACAAACTACGTTCAAGCGTTGCACAGAAAAAAGGACTGACCGCATTTGCGATTTTAATTGTAGGTAAAGCATGCATACTTTCCAAACTTCTGTAACTACACCTACTAAGCCTTACCTACAAGTTACACCAAGCTTGAACACACAGGAAGCCTTAATGCTGTGAAGCAGCCTAGCAGCCCCATGGCTGAGGGGCACAGAGGCCATTAAGCAGCAGCTGCAGTTCCGATCAGTTTCACTAAGACAAGTCTCTTCAGAAACTCATCTGAATACCAGGCAAAATTACTGTCTTCTTCCAGGCTGACAGCTGCTAGCTATCCACTCCAGGGTGAATAACTGTCTAGGTTCTTGTGACTAAAAAGGGAGGTTGGACAGCTACTATGCAAGCAGAAGCCAATTTAGGAGCCTAAATCAGTTGGCCACACACAGATGCCTACTTCCATGCAAGATGCCCTGTTTTATCAGACGCATCTATTTTCATATCTACCAGCCCATGCAGGAGGTATAGGAGATCTGGGCCCCTCTGGAGAAGCACGAGACTAGGCAGGATCTCTACCAGATCTTAAATAGAAGCAGAAATCTATGCACAGAAGACTGTATCATGCCATGGCTCCTATCTGGAGCTCAATCCCAGCCTTGGCAAATCTGGCATTTATCAGAACAAGAATGAAATAATATCAGTAGCCAATGGATCCAAGTCAAGCACAGCTCAGAAAGCCTATGCAAATTCATCACATCACTTGAGCTTCACAGAGGACTGTGAAGTAGGGACGGCTGCAAACCAGTGATAGCACCTAAACGTACCACAAGAACACTCAGACCATGCAGCAGACAGGCTCAGAACACTTCCAGAAAGACAAAGCACAGCTGCTCTAGCAAAGCGCACAGAATTCCTAAAAATATCAGCAGCCAACTGAGCAAGAGATCTGCAAATGTCATTCCAGTATAGATTAGAAAAATGTCCCCAAAACATATGAACTAATCCCACAGATTAGCTTGGATTTAGACATCTCACCAGGCTTCCACAGATCACCCTTGATTGTATGAACAGTAAGAAAGACATATGACAACTGTAAATATATATGGAAAATTATGTAACAGAACAATATTGTACTCACATTGTAGAACTATAAATGCTGTATTTATCTTGAATGCACATCTCAGTACATACCAATATAATCCTGTCTTTAAAGGAGTTCTCATTTGAGAAAAAAAATATGACTCATTATAGCTTGTGGGTGCAGGGAATCAGAGTTAAGTGAGTTACATCTTCTCTCACTTACAGAATTTACACACCTGCATCAGTCCAGTGACTTAAAATGGCATTTCTCCTAATGAGAAGGAATATCAATCTTCAAGGAAGTACCCTGAAAGTTTTCTGACTGTCAATGGCAAAATATGCAAAGTTGCAGATGGGAAAGCACGCCTATTTTGCAAAGACAGCTATGAAGGGCTGAGTTTGGAATACATCTCTTAAGATGCAAAGTCTTATTATAGCTAGTTATATACTAGCTATTTTATACACTGCATGTTAAGTACAGCTTTTATATACATGTATGCAAACACAAAACACTCACAAGCTCTAGCTAGTTACTAGTTCCTACAGGAAAGTCTGTATACTTGTAAATCATTATATATATATTATATATTTAACGTACATGATCTGGCAGTTTTATGCCTCTTACAGTTACATATAAAGTTGATGGGTAACGCTTTCTAGGACATTTTGCCCACCAGTCATAAACCTCAACAACATTCAAATGTGACTTGGTCCTCGGAGGTGGGCAATATAATTGCAGACGGAGTTTTCCATCAACGTTTCGAACTCCATTTGCACCTACAAGCTGGAAGGATGATTAAAAAGAGGAAAGAATGTGTTACATTAACATAAAGATAATAAAAGTCATTGATTATTTCTAATAACTTAAACAACTACAGGATAAACTCTGAAATCCACTTCCAATTGAGGAAATATACTATCCCTAAAAGTGGTAATGAAGGAAGCATGCATTAAACACCTCCAGGATCAAATCACTAAGATTAAAAATTTAGATGGCAGCCTAGTTTTGAAACATGCTTCATACACACAACACTAATATCCTGTATGTAGGAAGACCTCTGCAGTACCACTTTTTTTTTATTACTACTGGCTGAAATTGCCCAAATCTCAAAGGACTGTCAATCCACAAAGAGCCTCTTCCAAATCTGCCCCCTTTGAACGCTGCAGCAAAGGGCATTGGTAAGGCTTTGACTCAGAGCAGAAGATACAGCAAAGCAATAACCTTTCCAACTTCAGAGGAAATAGAGATCTCTCTACTGAATTAAAGAACAAGTGTACTTACTGCCATTAACACTGACCACTGTTTATCAGGACATTTCTACTTTGACTGATAAGGATAGATGAAAGGATAATGCTGACAGATGCAGTAGAAATGAAGAACAGGCCATAATTTTATTTGTATTTATGAGCTGGAAATTCATCCTTCCCTTTGTTCAGGAGTAGGTTGTACTGAATGCCTGGATGCACAGTTCCCACCAGCTATACACCCAGACATGGGATACCAGACCTCTGATTCCAGTAGATTCATTTTGGGCAGAGCTGAGAAGAGCCTCTGTATGGAATGCTACGGAGGTCCCTCTCCCTTCCCCTAAACTTGCACTCCATTATCTTCTCCTGTATTTCTCATGTTGTGGACTGCTCAATGGCTGTTAAGATCTACCATCTGCACGGGTAGGTGTAAATGAACAATCCTCAGGCAAATTAAAGCTTGTCACCTCTCAAAGGCCAAACTGGCACATTCAAGTCTCTCCCAAAAGGGTAAAAAGGTACACGATGTGCTGGCTAAATCACGTGTCTCATTGCTGTAGCATTTCAAACTCTGCAACTAAAAATGACAGGCATTTTATAATTACACTAGGGAGTCTTTTCAAGGACTGGCCAACTGAAAATGCCACCAGACTACAGAACAGCCGAGGTACAGAAAGTAGTGGATTTGTCATTTCCTCTGCAGAGACAATCTCATGAACACATAGGAAACGCTCAAAGAAAACCTCCTTCTATACTTTAGTTACAAAAAAAAATTCTATACTTTCTTGAAAAATACATATTCTTTACCGTCAAGCTTGTTATGTGAATTTTATGGGGCCAAGGAAAAGGGAAAGGAGAGAACAGCCAAGCAAGCAAGGATTTGTTTTTCCATCTCTGTTGCCTGGAAATACTAAAAATGTTTTCCCACTTAGTACTGTTAGTGTCTTTTAGATAACTAAATAAAAAGATTTATGAATTTTGTTTCTTCATTTAAATATTTACAATACCTTTAGAAATGCCCAACAAATTTTTCGGAAACCACATTCCTGAATTTGTACATCAGAGTTGGCTCTCACTTCATCCATACTTAGAAAATCAAGGATCTGAAAGTATTGGTAGGAATATAAATATATTTCTAATGAATATATACTTCATGGTAATTAAAAAAATACTGCTGAAAATATGCTAGATGTGACTCACTAAATTAAGCAATTTCAATTTTAAGCAATTACAAAACCAGTACTTCCTCCAAACAAGTATGCTATTAGAAAAAACAGATCCTTGTACATTTACCTGATGACTATCTATGACCCGCTTTAAAAAAGAACGTAAGTCTGGTCTTAAAAAAACTATTCTTGCTTCCCTTCTGTCTCAATAAAAGAGGAAAGCGTTCATGTGTAATTTTCATCAATCCTATATAGTTCACAAATCATACATATCACCGATCTGACAGCCAAAATCAGCTGTATGTTAATCTAGCTGGTAAACGGAAGTCAAAAAGTTATTTTTCCTTTCCTAGCTTTATCACTTACATCATAGAATCAATCACAGAATGGTTTGGGTTGGAAGGGACCTTTGAATATCATTTAGTCCAACCCCCCTGCCATGGGCAGGGACATCTTTTACTAGATCAGGTTGCTCAAAGCCCTGTCCAACCTGACTTTGAATATTTCAAATGATGTCCATGAGATTCTTCATTTTTCTGGTCAGTGACCAGAATCTTCTCATGTTTAGCCACTCCTGGAGATTTATCTGGTATACAAAAAGACTTGGAATCATGTTTTCTTCAAATTGATACTTCATAAACCACACTGAAGTCAAACAGCATGTTTTCAGTGTAGTCCCACTTCTGGTCCCAACATTGACGTGATTTCCATGAAGAATCTTTACATACAAGTGTAATTACTTTTATGTTAAGGAACTAAGGATTCTTAATTCTATAAATGTGTTCATTTATGAGTATCACAGAACATAAAGAAACATATGGCAATACTGCATATACAATCTACTTCAAATACAAAAAACAAGGAATGAAAAAACATTTATTGTATTACGTTCCCATTTTCATGTTAATACTACAGAATCTCTCTTTACAATACTACAGAATCTCTCTTTACAAATATTTAAATACTTAAGCTCAAAATCATCTTACAATTTTTCCTTTAAACATAATTGTATTGGAGGACAAATTAATAATTACTTTCTGAAGAATGGGAGAGGGGAAGCAGATGTCTAAAATGTTAATGGAAAACAACGCAATAGCTTGCTCATTGGTACAAGGGAAAAGAGGTGTTGCTACAAGCAGGCAAGCTCCATCTTTGAGTTTCTGGTACTTAAGCTTCTTTACAGATTTCAAGAATGTGAAAAAGGAAAAAGTGGTATCCTTTATACATGGTGCCATCCCTCCTGATCTGGAACGATCTTACCAGCCTTTTCCAGAAGTTTGACAGTTGACTTAGTAAGAAAGCATTGTCCTCCTTACTACTATCAAAACAGGGGTGTTTTTGCTATAAAAAAAAATGTTTATTAGTACTAGCAATCACCAATACCACTTTTTGGTATCTCCACTTAATTCTATATCTTAACAGTATCCTATTAAACCAATATAACTGAAATAAAACACCTGAATCTGTCAAATATATACCGTTCAAGAAACAAACAGAAAATTATAACGTGCATAAATTTCATGTAAAATATTTAACTTTACCTCAAAAAACAGGATTACCGGAGGACTTTCTTCAGTGTTTTGAATAAAATAACTAAAACGCTCATTAAATATAACTTGCTCCTCCCACTCTGGAACTGTTGATTTAGACTGCCTGAAGTCATATGGTTGTGTCATAATAGGAAGAACGTGCTCTATTTGTTCCTGTTCATAATAAGATGAAACTTTCCTCTTGCTGTTTGAAAATTTCCAAACAGTTACAATTGTTATAGCACCTTAAAAAAAAAACCAACTCAAACAAAACAGTATTTTCAATTATTGAAAGCAAAGAAATAGACAAGATACCATTTGTTTGATTTTTAGAAAAAAACTTTCTGAAACCACCCAAAATTTAAGACAATTTGCAATGTATATAGAAATGCTACAGGCTGAAGTTCAAAATCCTATCAATCAAGTTACTGTTACCAAATTTATGCATAATGGTCATGCTAGAGTCTACTGCATAAACACTGTTAAAATTTGGTTTTCAGGAAAATTATGCATAATGACAGTGGAAACAAGTAACTGAAGCAATCAGAAATATGAAGAACTAAACTTAATTTCAGGATTTTAAAAGTTCTTTTATAAAAAAGAAAAGAGACACTATGCTACAAGAGTTTTGCTTCTTTTAATCTTGGTTTCTATGTATTTTTGAGATTTAGGGTATTTTCTCTCTGGAAAGAATATAGAATGAACTGTGCTGTAAATATGGGGACCTCCAGAGCAATACAGCAGTGCAGAGCATTTAAAAGTGCTAAAAAGAAAAACACCACCCTAACTTACTCTATGTGTATATATGCATTATCATAGATGTAGAAACTAATGAATGACCTTGCAAGCTTATAATTCAGCATTAAAATAATGTTCTTATTTAATTTTCTAGGGAATAATCTATGTATTTATAGTAATCATGGATAATAGAAACAGTTTATTAAGTCACCTATGATCCTTCTTGACGTATAAGCCACTTCTCTGATCAACAACATGGATTTTAACCATGGGATGAGATACCAGGAGATCAGTTTTAAGTCGATCAGATCGATGGATATAAACTCCCAACACAAGATCGTCATCAAAACCAAATTTAGACTGACTTGAAATTTCTGAATTCTTCATTTCCTTGTCATTTTCTGTAGCAACTTCTGTGCTTTCTTCTAGAGATAGGAACAAATAGAGGTTACTATGTTCCACTAGTAACAGTTTAAAGGAGTAAAAATGCTCTGTATTGTCAAAGCAATCAATAGTAAAGTAATAATAATTAACATGTTCTTTATGTAATAGGTTAAAATAAAATTATCAAATCTGCAGCATTTTAAACATGTATGAACGTACACATGAATATACATTCATTAATATAATCTATTCCTATTAACAAACATTATTTATTTATTATTTAAAATCAGAGGTCTTCCTCTTGATTGACATAGGTTCTTCTGTGCCACAATGACTTAAAATCCATACAGTTCAACACCCTGCTCTGGACTACAGCCTATAGTAGGGGGTTTTTTTGTTTGTTTGTTAAGGAAAACATAAAAAACAAATAAGCAGAAATTTACGCTTCCTCCATGTGCATTTTCCCTAAATTTACCAAACATTGTTTTCAGAATTTCCTCATTTACAAGTTACAGTGAGACCACCATACTTAATAGATATCAACAGACCTACTCCTCATAAATTTCTGTAATCTCCATTTTTAAACTAATTTCTTATTTTGGCCTCCACAATGTTTGAGGAAATGAATTCTCCAATTTGACTACGCATTGCGTGAAGAAGTATTCCTCATGTTTGAACTAAGCATCAGGTTAAAATAGTGGTGATACACCATTTACAGCATAAAGTAAATAAAAATGATAAAATAATAAAAAGACAATAAGAATATCCATCTAAGTAATACACTGGAAAGGTGATATATATAATATTATTATATTATGCTTAAAACCCCTCACTTTTTAACTATTTATCGATTACAAAATGATTCACAGGAAGTGAATTCTCAAGATTTTAGATTGATACATCAAATTAACTTCCTTACAAATTAGCCCCAGAATCAGAAGAACAAAAATACAATTATGTAGCTAAAGAAACATCAGTAACTTCAACAGCTCAATCACTTCTGTGTTAGTACTATGGACAAATATTTCTGTAGCAGCCCAAAAAAAAAAAGAAAAGAAGAAAGACTTGGACAAAGCAGTAAAGCAGCACACCATTCTAACATTTTGTTTGCAGACCTTTTCTGGTTTTCTTTTTAACCTTCTTTGCTTTAGGTTTCTGTTTTTCCATGCTTTCCTCCAGTTTCTGTCCTTCTGATGTAAACAGTCTCTCCAATGACTGATTTTCATTGCCATCTTCTGCTGGATGATGCTGTAGCTCAGAAAGGGACATTGCACTGCAATGTAATGGATTACTGTCAGCAATTGCATTCTACTGCATATATGGATACAATTGCTCATTACCATTATTAATCCACTTGAAATTCCTTTAGTTCTGCAACTTATCATCTGTTTATCTTGAAAATACAACGCACACCGACAACATTAGTGTCTTGCCTTTTTCATTTCTCTCCCCACTTCATTTCCCCCTAATTTCCAGATAATGGCAGAACCATTCATGTGAACAGAGCTAAGCTAATACTCTTCTGCTGGATCAGGGCCATCACTCATCACTAAAAAAACATGCACAAAATTATCTTAAGTTAGTTAAGAGTGAGTTCTACAGACAATAAACATCAGGTAGTAATGGAGGATATTTTTTCAAAAAGTTAAACAGAATCTGTGAGTTTAATATTAATCTTGACAGCATTTTGAAAAAATATTTGGTAGTATTTTTCCATAACAGAATCATCCAGTTCATCACTTAGAAAACATGTACAGTTTATCAGAAAGCTTCTGCCTATCTTAAAACAAAATGAAACATTTCACTTAAGATTCACAGACACGGGAGTATACAGTTTATCATGGTACCTTGTTTCAGCTTCACTTAAAACTGCTATTTCTTTCTTCTTTTTCTTCTTTTTGCCCACTTCATTGTTCAATACAACTTCATGGCTTTGAACACTGGAGGTAAATTCAGACATCTGTTCTTGAAGTTTCATTCTTATTTTCTTTTTAATTGCATTTGCCTCATCCTCAGCCACATGCAGCTGATAGGCTCGAATTAGCTCTTCTTCCTCTTCTAATTCAGTTACATTTCTCACTTCAGTCAAGGAATTTTGAATCTTTCTATCACCTTCTTGATGAGGTACATCTGTTTGTGATTTACTTTTTGTTTTCTTCTTTGGAAAATCATTAATCTTTTTCTCAAAACTCTCCAATTTAGCTTCATATAAATTTTCCTCCTCATTAAATTGTTCTTGTATCAGTGATTTCTTTTTCTTCTTGTTAGACTTTGGTTGCTTGTTCTCCTCTCCACTAACAATATCATTATTTATTTTCTCTGCAATTGAGGCTTTCTCTCTCAGTTTATTTTTTGTAAATCGGGGACTCTCTTCTTCAGGATTATACGTGTTGTTTATAATTGCTTCATCATTCACACTTTCCTTAGCTAGATCAATATTACTTCTAAAGGTGTCAAGCTATAAATGAAAAGAACATAAAACATATTTGTACTAAGAATTATGTTCTAGGGATAAACATAGTACTTTATGTCATTTCTTTAGCAACATTACACATAGTAAAATAAAATCAAAGATCTATTTATTTTCTTGTTCAAAATTAACAAGTGACAGATTGAAAGGCAACAGAAAATTCACACTAAAAAAAGAAGCATTTTGTGTTTGGGCACTTCATCTTCAATTTTGTTTCACACTGTTTTTAAATGACTTTTATGTATATCCAGTAAAAAATGAAATCAACAAGTCTACCCCGTAAACAGATGCCAATGCTTTAGACTATGGAACACTTGAAGATTACTTGGAGCACGAAATCAAGTATTTTCATCCACTTAAAATGCAAGTTAGAGACAGGCTGCAGGCTCAGTTGTTTGTAGTCTCTTTTACTGCAAGTTGCTTGCCAAAGCTTGACAATGAAATTATATTAAAAAGTGCTAAAACTGAAAAACAGATTTCCATTTAAAAAAAAAAAAGTCTTAAGAAAAAGTATAAAGAAAAAAAACCCCCACATTATTCTTAGTAGAATGACAAAGAGTTGATCTAAAGACCAGTCTAGTAAAAACAGCTAAGATAAATTTCAGGTAATGCATTTGTCTATGCACTCCTTCTGCCTATTTTTGCTGTTTTTTAAAAAATATATTGTGAACATTCCTCCCTCCTTCAGATTTCTATTCCTGGTTACTAAAAGTTACAATGCTCCATCCCTGGAAACATTCAAGGTCAGGGTGGACCAGGCTCTAAGCAACCTGATCTAGTCGAAGATGTCCCTGCCCACAGCAGGGAGGTTGGACTAGATGACCTTTAAAGGTCCCTTCCAACTCAAACTATTCTACGATTCTACAATGACTCCCAACAACACAGCAAGTAACTAAGACCTAATTCTGTAGGGAGCTTGACACACAGATCTTTGTTCCTTGATGGAACTTCTATAAATTTGCTGAGGTTCATTTAGTCTGTTGTCTTACACAAAACTCTCTGGAGTCTCCACATGAAACATTAGAAAGGACTTTAAAACACAATGGTAGCAAATAAAAAAAAAGTTGGAGAAAATGTAAGTATCTGCATACAATCTTTTCTTTGTCAAGAACATCTTCCTCCCTCAATGAACACAGACATCTTCCCCTTCTAGCTGGGATACTTCTCCCAGTAACAGAATCATGTCTGCCTCAAACACTTTTAAAAAGGGACAATATGTGTAATAAGTGATCACCAAAATGTACATGCTTATAAGAAGAAAAAACAGAGAATGAACTTGCAGCAGCAATCATGCTTTGGAGGATGGATCCTGACTTAAAAATGCCCACTTGTGAGAATAATATTCCATGACTAAAAGAACACTCAATGTGCAAGTCATCTGCCTCCATATTGTATGCCCTCAATTACATGAGTCTGCCAACCTTCATCACTATCTTATTTTATTAATATCTGACATTTGAAGAGAGAACATGGAGAGCAAGGAAAGGATTATACGTATGAAGAAGGAGAAGGGAGGAAAAAGAAAGGGAAGTTTGAAGTACATGTGTAAAAACACAGAAGAGTATAAAATCAAGAAAGTTATTTCTTGTACAGGAATATTGCCATATAAAAGCCGTGTGACAAGAAAAAATACACCACGACAAAGTTTAACACAGAAATAAAAGTTGATGTCTGAAACTAGAGATGAAGCTTAAAAATGCACTAACTAGACTTACTAATGCTACATATTAAACAACACTGTACTAATAAAGTATGAGTTAAAAAAGAAAGCATCTAGAATTTTATGCAAGTGTGTTTATCTAATACATCAGAAAAATCTAAAGCCATTCATATATCTTTTCAGTAGGTATCTTTATTTTTAGCATCCCATGTCTAAAAATAGTTTAAATTATCTCAATATCAAATCATGATAAAACCTGTCTTTGTACCTTCATCTTTTACTTGCTCAAGTAGACCAGTAACATCCTCTTTATTCGTAAGTCAATGATTTAAGAGGATGTGGAAGATTTCATATAAATAACTTGAAATACGGAATAGAGTAGGGGAAATAAAAAAAAATTAAAGCAACAAGCTTTGTGTACACTGAAAAAGCAAAATAACGCTTTCTAATATATTGTCCACTTCCTTATCTGCATTTCTACAAATAGGTTTAACTGCAGAGTATAAGGACTGAAAGTTAGAACACACTGGGCAATTAAGACCCAACTGTGACCAATAGCTAAGGTCATGCTGATTTTTATCTTTGATAGATTATTAATCCATTAAGCCCAAGAGTAGAATTTTTTGAGAAATCCTAAAGAAAAAGCCCTCATCTCTGATCAGTTCAAGAGTTTCTAAAACAACTCTTGATATTCAAGAATCATTTCCTCAAAGAAACCTAGCTGTTGCAAAAACTTGCTTGAAATATTTACTAGAACTTGTTATTTGTTATGCCTACAAACAAAAACATACATCCATAAATGTCATGAATATTAGCAGCACACAATCAGTTAATTGTAGCAAATTTACTCATAGGAAAAAAAAAAACCACCAGAATACCCTCATAATGAAATAAAACACAACCTCAAACTACAGCAAACTCCAGGAACATTAATAGGTACTGCAGGCAGCACAAAGCTACTTCAGCAGTTCAAACACAAATTCCTCAGATACGTAGCCTATATGATCTTAACTCCGGCCACTTTTTCCACATGTTGTAATTACATGATGCAATTAAACAGAGAGGAAAGATGGGAAGGAATCACAAAATGATAAAGTAAAAGCCAAAAGGTTCATAAAAACCATGAGACTAGGTCTTAGGCAGACACAGGGATACTGGTACAGATTCTCTGCCTGAAATGCAGGACTGAGAGAGATCAACTAAGACCAATTGGTTATATATAAACACACTTGAACTGAGTTAGAAAAAGCAGTTAGGCTGGAAAAGCAGCTCAGAGAATGGGCCTGTCTCTGGAGTGACTCCGGAGGGTTGATGACCTGAACCTGACCTGCTCAGCTTAAAGCATGGAACAAACAAGTCAGCTTTTTTTTCAAAACAGCTCCATGGCCACATTACAATACCAGGGCAGAGGAAGCGCTCTTCCCTGAGAACAGACCTACTTGCTCTACAGGCTTGATAGGCACGAGAGATGGGTGCCAGCCAAGACGCACGCAGGTGGGCTAACACACAAGGCTTGTACCACAATGAGCCAACCCCAGGTCACGCCATTTGCCGATCGTGTCCCAGAGCTGACAGCAGGGACAACGCCTAATAATCTTACTGCTTTTTAAAAAGGCTTCTCAAATATGTGTGAGTGGAACCTGGAAACACATCAAGTGATTCTGTCCAGGGTATCTGGAAACTCAGATAACCAGATTTACAGAGGTACCTGAATTTCTTCCCATGATACAGGCACACCTCGAAAAATTAGTAATGGACATTGCCAGCCCACTGAGGGGCTGATATGTACTGGCTGTAAAAGATGATTTACTTAGAAGTGAATTGGTAATGAATGTACTTGTGATGCTGGCTAGTTGGGTGGGATGTTTAAGAAAATTTGAATGCACTAGGGAACCAATTTTACTGCCATTGCTCATATAAGACTACAAAATGTAGGTGCTCAAAACTAGAAGAACTTTAATTTACAGCGAGGATAGACTTGGAGAAGTTTCAGCAAATTTTAACAGAAAATGTTGAGAAAATGTGTAGGTCAAGTATATAGTCAACTATTAGCAGTTCTCCTATTTTAAATAAAAGAAACAAAGGGCTAAAACCCAGTGGAAATCTCAACAATTATTCAGTGCCTGTCAGCTTATGGAAAAAAAATGGGCTATGAAACAGACCCTGGGAAAATTCTACAACCTCAAAGCTCCGCAGGTTGTGTTTTGCATCTAAGACAGAAGCTAAAGTACTGAATTAGTCAGAAGAAAACTGTAAAACACCCATCTTACCCGAAAGAATACAAGAATTTTCAAGCCTGGAGATAGACTTCTATTACCTGTACCCTCATGAAACTCCAGACTCCAACCTGTCATCCAGGGTCTTGTGAAGAAAGGGAAGGAGCAGACTCAGTGAGGTGGGAAGTAAAAAGTTGCAAATGGATAAATCTGTTGCAGTCCTGCCTTGAATACAAAACCTTAGTTATCAATGCATGCCCATCCCAATATTGTAAGCTGGTCAGACTACAGTCTAGGGAAGAAATTCTTGCCTCTATAAAGGGATCTTGCTTTTCATCTGGCAGAAAACTTCACTAACATTTTCCGAGTTAAACATCCGCTTTTCTACCATGAAATTTAGATTGAACCAAATAAACTCCATGATTTTCACACTGACTTTAGACAGATTAATCTATCTGGGCAAAATAGTCTGGACATTGCCTGGTCTGAGGCTTGTCTCATTCTAACAACTTGTAATAGAAGACACAACTGATAAAAAATATAAATATGGTGACTGTTAGCCCCGGAATGGATACTAGCAAATTCACTTTCTAACTGTGTCCCAATTGCTTGTTTTTTCAGCCATGCCTGCAGGCCTCATACCCACTGCACCTGTGGCTACTGAACAAAAAAGCAGACCCTTCACTGGCCACAGCTGATGTCTATCTCCATTACAAGCCCCTCATTCCTATCAGTTGTGACTTCAAACTCATCCTGCCCTACCGACATCAGCCCTTCCTCTTCCAGTCAGGCTGCTTCCCTGGTCTCCAGGCAACAGGCACAGAGTGGAGCATGCAAGCAGGCAGGCAATCGCCTTATCCTCACTTCTATCATTCAAAGTCACAGCAACCTCCTGCAGCTCCAGCACTCAGGTTTCAAGGAAACTGTAGGCTATGATGGAAAAGGTTTTATTAATCTAAGAAAGGCTAGGTTCAGTAAAGACAAAAGAAAGAAGCAGACTGGAACATTTCTAGTGGAAATATGCTCTCAACCATGACCTGTTTCTGATCAAACCTGGGAGACCATTTATGGCAACTGAGTGACACAAAGACAACCATCACTGATAAATCTCACATTATTTCAAGACATGTGAAACCCTATACAGCTAAATTATATAAAGTGAAGAAAACTAGAACAAAACCAGCCAACCTCCTCTTCCCCTCCCACACACATAGATCAACCTGATCTAGTTAAAAGATGTCCCTGCTCACTGCAGGGGCGGGTGAGCTAGATGATCTCTAGAGGTCCCTTCCAACCCAAAGCATTCTATGATTCTATGATTTCTTACAGAGAAATGACTGGTTATTTGCTGAAGCTTTACAGAAATTTCTACTTGAATGCAACCAGCATGGAAAATACCAACCTGAGCTCTTGCAATTTTGCCACATTTTAAGGAAATGTTCAAAATGGTTAGTATTAGGTTTCAACACGTTCTCCTCAAGTTCTTAGTTTTTTAGTGCTTTGATCAGTAAAAACCTATGGCTTCAACAAAACCATAAAGTTAGGCTTCCACATTGATCCTAAAAACACTTCTTAATTTGTGCATATACCATTAACTTTTGATTCAGTTCACTGTGATTTTAAGTGTTTCTAGGTAACTCCAAAACACTAGTGTTTTACATCAGAGACTTCCGGAATGGAAATCAATTTTACAGCCAAAGTAAGCTTAAAATATTTATGATATGTAGTTGCATATGAACATACAATTATGTGCTCAAAAATACTTACATCCTACTTAGAAAGTACAAATTTAAAAACTCACGTTTCATCAAAAAAGTAAATGTAACCAAGGAAGAATTTAGTCTTGTATTCACACATATGCCAGCAAAAAAATTAGGCGGCGGGAGGGGGGGGCACCAAACCAAAAACAACCTCTAACTCTTCTACGCTATATTTAGACATCACGCTGATTCTTTGTGCAGACTATTGACTAAGTACCATATACTTCAAGGAATGCAATATCCGTGAACAGAAATATCAAGTTCAAATTGTCAGTCTAAAGACAAAATTATGTTTCAGCATAACAACACGAAGATTAACATAACAATTCCAAAGATATATATTAAATACAAGTAATGTTCTGATATTATATAAAACACCACTCCTTTGTCTTAAAGGAGTGTTAAAGAATGAACACTCACTTCCAGCATCTGGTATGGATGCAACTGCAAGAAAAAAAGACTGAAAATATAAAACCTAACAGGAGGAAAATAAAAAAAAAACCCACAGAACATTTGTCTTTTAAGCAAATTGCTTTTTTTTGAAATTCTAAACATTGTAAGTCAAAAATCAGTATATATAGGACCTATATTAAACATTTATTCTTCTGTTCAGAAAAAAGCTACAATATGAACCATAACTTAGAGGAGTCTCTGAAGCTCTTGTAATGAGACACATGCCAAAATAAAAATGTTATCTAACCATAAGGTCAGGGCGATAGAATCATTCCTAATCTGCAAGTCACAAGCTAAGGCCAAAATCTTTAAAACAATCGTTATACGTGTTTACTGCCTAAGTAGACATGTAAACACAGGACCACTCAAGACACAAAGCTCAGCACATGCAGAAATATGCCGATTACTGACATAAAATTGATAAAAAGTTTCAAATGTTGTTTAATATTGTTTGTAAATTCTTATACCAGTAATTTTTAGGAAATGGAATAAAGTTAACGATTATCTCTAATATTATTATAAATTCTCATCAGTTCTCAATTGACAGATGTATTACACAGATGTAGTACTCTAAAAATTAAACACTTTTACAGCCATAATTCTACTAGCCCATCACTCAAACTCCCACTAAAGTCAATACTGAATTTGAAAATCTTAAAACTTTTCCGAAAAATGTGAATGGAAAAAAGTACTGGCAGACTTTAAATAAGTGCATGCCTGCATGTGCCACTTTCTTTTTATCAGCATTATATTCTATATAATTTTGGCATACCTCCAAATTACAAGGATGCATTGCTGGTACACAAACAACAAATAAAGCCACATCAAGAACAAAGGGTATGTGCAGAAATATACTTTATACTTTATTTTTTTAAAATCCTTGCATCTCCTTTCTACAATACATTTTCCCGATCTTTTTTCTATTAAGGAAGGCAACCAAACAAAGCCTGCATGTGTTCAAACTCACCACAATATTCTCTTGAGAGGGAAACTTCTTTTTCTTTGATTTCTTTGTGTCTGTTAGGCCAGCATGACGTCTGAAGATTTCCTCAAAGCGGACTTTGGTTTTTGCCTTTGCCTCACTTTCAACTGCAAAAAGAAATCTAGAGTATGATTCACTAGCTGAATAATCACCATTGCTAAAAATGTGCGTAATCACGCTTTAAAATTACAAAGAACAAGAATTATTTTATCAGGGAAAGTTTACCAAGAAATTCACTTAGTAATCAGTTAAGAATTCCCACTGACAATGTAAACCACACTGTCAGGGTGTACCCCCAACCAGCAACTAAGCACCACGCAGCCGCTTGCTCACTCCCCCTGCCCCGATGGGATGGGGGAGAGAATCGGAGCAGTAAGAGTGACAAACACTCCTGGGTTGAGAGAAGAACAGTTTAATAATTGAAATAAAGTAAAATAGTAATGATAATAATAACAATATGATAATAATAGTAATTATAATAATATACAAAGCAAGTGATGCACAATGCAATTGCTCACCACCCGCCGACTGATACCCAGACAGTTCCCGAGCAGCAACCGCTGCTCCCCGGCCAACCCCCCCCCACTTTACATACTGAGCATGACGTCATATGGTATGGAATAGCCCTTTGGCCAGTTTGGATCAACTGTCCTGGCTGTGCCCCCTCCCAGTTTCTTGTGTACCTGGCAGAGCATGGGAAGCTGAAAAGTCCTTGACTAGCATAAGCAGTACTCAGCAACAACTAGAACATCAGTGTGTTATCAACATTCTTCTCCTACTAAATCCAAACCACAGCACTATGCCTGCTACTAGGAAGAAAATTAACTCTATCCCAGCCGAAACCAGGACACACACAAGGATAACTGAGCAACATTGCACAAACACACCAGGCTATTACTTGTTGCTGAAGTCAGCACCCTCTATTCTGTTTCCTGAAGAAAGCACATTTTGAAGAGCACACACATCCGTATCGGCACAAAACTCGGGCTAGCCAAAGTTAAGGCCAAAGGACAGATTATTGCCCTTGCTGTTTATGAACAGTAGCACACTGACAACAGAGGTGACACACTGTCTCCAAGAGAAGCAGCAACTCTGGGTTCTTAATGTGTCTGGAACCCAGAGGAGCACCACCCTGAGACCGACCTGTAAGAGACAGGAGCATGCACGGATCCGAAATCTGCTGGCGATGAGAGCCCCTGCCTTTCTATGAACCATGATCCTGCTACCAGCAGCATTTCAACCCTTGAAGCAGTAGGTGTTCTAGCCCCCTGCGAGGTAATGCTTAATTTGTAGCTAAAGAATTAAAAATGCAATCTGGCACACCACTGAAAAAGGCTATTGATCCTCAGCGACGGCACATTTACCATTGCAATTACAATTTTTACAAAAGCCTCCAAATTTATAACAAACAAACAAAAAAAAAAACCACCACTTTGAAAATCAGCTATAAACATGGACTCAAAATAGAGCCGATGGAGCATTAAAATCTTACAGACAGAAGTAGCTCCTATCATTTGCATCTAGTTCTGACTATAAAATATGTATTGGAAATCAAACGCAAAGTATTCTTACCTGCTGGCATTTTCAGTCCTCAGTTAGAAGTGGCTCAACACACCAGCTGCTTCTTCCTCAGAATTCACCATTCTATTTAAAGTAATTAACAGCTTTCATTAACATAACTGGTCCATAGACTTTAAGCGAACGATTGAATGCATGCTAATTAATATCAAGGATGAGTACAGGTCTTTTAGGGAAATATTTCTTTCTAGACTATTTGCCTAAATTATTAGACGTTCTCTGCCATCAAATCTCAGTTCATGATTCTCAGCATCTATCTGATACTCGTTATTTAAGAGTAACTAAGAAACACTGCAGCAGTTAAAATAGCTGTATGTTTCTGGGCAATAGACAAATACTTCAGTACTGTAGTCCTCCAGTCTTCTAAAAAACCCTATAGTTTATTTAAATAATAATGACCCATTAAGCCATTTATATTGAAGCCTTTCTAATCAGGTTTCTACCCTGACAGCATCATCAAGGAAGTCACACTGTAGCCAGCTGATAGCTTGCAATGCAGAGATTAGTATCTGCCAGCAACTCTTAAGTTTATTACAAATCTCTAAATATTTATGTTTACATGAGGCATCTGTATTTTACATAAAGCAGACAAGCAATTACATGAAACTCATTTCTCTAAAGAAAAAGTGTTAGGCCGTCCTTGTTCTGGAGAAAAGCCTACAATGCAATCCAAAGCTCGAAGGCAAATAAAAATATTACACAATTTTATCTTTTCATCAAGAAAATTCAGCATGTTTTACAAAAAACTTTAACACAAAAAGCTGTTTTGTAAACAGTGGAACTAATGAAACCTAGCTTTCTATGAGTGTGTTATGTTCCCCTTGGCCTTCCATGCAACGAACTATTGTACCTATCTACCCGATAGCCCATTGGGCAATAGTTCCAAGTTCTCCCTGGGTAACACCTTCTGTTAGGCACCACTTGCTCACATTCACTAGACATCCAGACTGCATCTAGCCTAATAAATTAAGACATAGCATTAAATACTCCAGACTATATGGATGCATTATCCTCAGCACCATTTTGGTCCAAACCACGTAACACTCACTCAGGCGATTCCTGGGTACAGTTTAGGAGTTAGATGGATTATTATTAATAGGCAGTTTGCATACAGCCACTCTGATTTGGGGCCAAGACAGTTTAATAGTATTAAAGTGGGCCAAACATACCACTTGGCCTCAACACTAAAAATCACTCCTGGGCACACATATCTTTCCAGCACACGAAAGAGCCGAGGCTACACTTCGTCCCCAAGCATCTGCACTACTGTACCCTCAGATCCTTCTCATCTCTCTTTCACAGTGTTACTTGCTTCTTCCCTGTCCCCCACAGGCTACATACTTTCAGGTCATTTCACATTTGCTACTTACAATAGTTTGGTCTGCTGGCTAGCCAAACCAAACCAAATTAAGAAAAAAGCAAAGCAAAGCATTAGGGCTGGTCAGTTGCCAGCTGTCTTTAGTTTATTCCATGTATTAAGCAAGGTATTTATACTGAGTATCCAACAATCTAAGGATGTTTGAAATGAGCAAGGATGACTAGAAGGGACTTCGTAGGCAGAAAAAAATGTTTTCTTCTGTAATATGCTTCATCATGTCACTGACAAGGTAGCAATATTTTCACTAACTAAAATATGTTTTGACTTGTAAAGCAAAGCTTTACTGTCACAACTAAAACGGTAACAGTTTAAAATAACACTTCTTACAAGAAATGAAAGCAGAAAATATTATTGAAAAATAAACCTGCTTTTGCAATTTAGTTATACAAAAAGACCATTTTAAAAGTACTACAGTTATTAAAAAAATGTTTTCTTCTGTAATATGCTTCATCATGTCACTGACAAGGTAGCAATATTTTCACTAACTAAAATATGTTTTGACTTGTAAAGCAAAGCTTTACTGTCACAACTAAAACAGTAACAGTTTAAAATAACACTTCTTACAAGAAATGAAAGCAGAAAATATTATTGAAAAATAAACCTGCTTTTGCAATTTATTATACTTAGTTATACAAAAAGACCATTTTAAAAGTACTAGTTATTAAGTGCTGCTTTTCAAGTATTCGATTCACAATTGGCTAGAAAATACTTATAATTTGAAAGAGTAGAAAACTAAATATAGTTATAAAATACAGCAGATTCTATCACTTTAATCATTCACTGAGGATTGCAGGAGCATGGAAAAGCCTCTTATGATTAGTCGAGTGATTTCAACCACCCGTCAGAAAAACTAGCTACAAACAATAAATGAAATGCTGAAGTGCTCTTAAATTTAAAGCAAAAACACGAGAGACAATATAGAACATAACAGCAAAATAAGTAAAGTTCCAAGTATGGAAATAATTTTATGGTCAAAGGTTAAATAAATCATACCACACACACACAAAAAAAACCCTCCCAAACCTATAAGCAAATTAATTTTGCAGATACTTCTGCTTATAGCGGAAGAAACACCTTTCCAAAGGCCAGACACACCTCATGTCTACCAGCAGTCTCTGTAAAATGCATAGATTTGCCAAATACACCAGTGAGTGCATGCTTTTCTATTTACCTCTATTTATTCCGTAAAAGTCTACCCTCTTGTGGCAAAAAAATTAAGAGATAAAGTCCTCTAATGATAGTGCTATTATTTTATACACATTTCCAATTTAGAATTACATGACCTTTGACATGGTGCATTAAAGCAACTATTAGACTTGTGCAAATACAGATCATTAATCAACAAGGGTAAGAACAAGGCTGCTTATGCAGTATAATCTCACCTTAAAATAGGACAGATTTAATCTTACATCCAAGTTCGGCAATCACAGTGCCCCAATCCGAATAAACTAAGTTATCATTAAGATTAATCTTGTAAAATGCATTTTTGCCTGATCAGATTTCATCTCTTCCACATTAGTTAAGGCAATCCAGGAATGACAAAAATACATACTTGGAACAGTGGCATATTCCATCCATCAGGAATAACCAGGAAAACAAAATCACGAAGCCCAAACTTCCAAGAATTACTATATACCTTCCTGAAATCCGTCTAATTTGCTCTCCTCTAGTATTCCACCTGCATTTACGGATGTGCTTCTACATTAAATTGTTGTTCTTTTCACAATATTTTACAATACCCACAGAGCTGCTACGGTCTGCATCTGTAATACAGGAATTCTCTACGCAAAACATGCCATAAAGCCCACTATTTATGAAAAACACTTTTATTGATCACTAAAAAAAAATAATTTAAAAAACCCCACAAAATCAAACCTATACTATAGCAGAGCAGAACGTACAGAGTCTGTACTACGCAATGGGAAGTGACAAATTTCCTACCTAATTAGGACCATTTAGGAAACCGAGTTGACAAAATGTAACTGCACACTTCAGGATTTTCGTGAACTCAATCCCTCATTCTCCTTTTATTGCAAAAAGTGAATGTAATCTTCAGTGGCTGAAAACAAGTAGAACTTCAAGCCTTGCTGACTCCTCATCTTTTAGATGAGATCAGTCATCATAGTGGAAAATCTTGGGGTTTACTAGTAGGTTTCTAATGTAGGTATCACTGCTTCAAGACCTGAAAAACCTTTAACTCAGAATCATGCGGCAAAATAAGAGCTGAATCTGTTCCTTTTCACTAATGATGAATGTGACATCAAAAACCAATCTGGTTTTATTAATGAAAATTCAGTATTTAAGTCCAGAAAACTGACAGTTTTATTATTACCATGTAAATACCTACGTACCTGCATATCAAGTAAACACTACTAGAAGCGCAGTAGCTTTCTACCAGTTTAGATGTGCCTGTAAAAACTTTGTGTTCACGCTAATTTAAAAGGATCTTTTAAAAAAATCTAGTGCCACCCATCGGAGTTTTCTAATAGTCAGAAAGCTTTAGCTTCAGAGTAACTGCTGTTTTTCTCCCAGACTTGGCACCTTTCACTCTTCAGAAGACTGAAAACAGTCTTCTGTCTGCCCTGATGGCAAAACTATGGACTTCAGTTCCGTATAAGGATATTACAGCTGACTTTTATACTTTAGTACATTTTAAGCCTCTGCCTTATCTTACACCATGCTCATGAAAATGGGTTCTCATCAAGAGACCACCCTAAGTACTTTATTTTGCAAAGCGGCATTTTGCTTTGCGTAGAGGAATAACGGTAAACAACAAAGACAAGAAAGATACAAAGGAACATTCCCAGCACACGCCATAACTGGACTAAGCGATGGGATTAATTGCATTTAATGTGCAGATGCACGTCCCTCACTCGAGGGAGGCATCACCGCTTTGGGGCTTAACACGTCAGGCATCGACAGGCACTGTATTTTCCCGTGCCGTGGCGTATAAACTGAGCATGCAACTTCACCCGAGTAAACTACAAAGCTCGTACCGAGCAGGGAGAAAAAA